TAGTGAGTCAGGTTCTGCATTCCAGGAAGGAACTTGGGCGGCCTGCTCATCCCCTTGGACCCAATGACTACATTTCTTGGAATTGATCGGAAAGCATATCAGGAAGTTATCAAAGATATGGACAAAGCCTATGTGTAACATGTACTATGTATAATAGGCAAAAAAAACAAGATGCCCACAGTCTTGGGAACTGTAAGAACCTACAATATGATATAACTGTTAACCACCCTTCAAATTATGTGAAAGCCTTGTCAGTTCTGTTTTCTGATGCACATGCACGTAAAGTAAACCCTGGGATGAAAGATGCTAACATGTGAGTAGAGGTTATCATCCGTCAGTGACATTATGGGTGATTTCTACTTTTTAAAAAGCATTTTTCCATATTCTTTTTCCATAACAATAAGAGGCTTAACCTTGAATAGGAATTGCAGGCCTCATGAGTTGCTCCCAGGGAGGCAACCCTGGGGCCCTAAAAACCAAATCACACACAGGTACGTACAGCCTATAACAATAAGAGGCTTAACCTTGAATAGGAATTGCAACCCTGGGGCCCTAAAAACCGAATCACACACAGGTACCTACAGCCTACCTGGAATTCTCAGCCCACATAAATAATAAAAAAAATACAAGTCATACCCTCTTCTATGTCCCTACTGTAAGCTTTGTGCTTTACATGCTTAACCTCTCTGAATAAGGTTATTATTAACCATATTCCCGTTTTAGAGATGAAGAAACGGAAGCTCCCGTCTCCTCCCAGCGTTCTCTTGCCCCCTTCCCTGTCCACTCTGCCCATTTAGTTAGCCCAGTGCTTCGGCGTAGACCCTGTTCTCTGAGCAGCAGATGTTTCCCGTTGTCGCTGGAAAACTCCTTTCCAAAGTAAATACGTCGGGGATGGGGTGGGGGCAGGCGCTCCTGAGGGCACTGCCCCTTCCTCCTCTGTGGCTTTAACTTGGTCCTGGGCGCGCCCAGCCTTCTCACTCGGTGGCAGTGCCTGGCAGGTGCCCTTTCCTCCAAGGAGCCAGGTGGGTGCCCAGATCCCGCTCAGCCAGGAGGCATGTTCCTCCCTCTGGCCCTGGGCGCTGCATGCCCTTAGCTCTCTCAGCGCCTTCCCTGTCCTTCTCCAACCTCTTCTTTTTCCTCTTCATTCCTGGGCACCCACCTCTGCCTCTATCGCGTTATCTCTGTCATCATTGCTAAAGCAAATACCAAATCACTGCCTTTGAAAGAAGAGGGTTTTTGTAGAACAGTGGTTCCAAGATTCCTTCCTTCACAGGCACCCCTTCCCGGGCACGCTGTATCACAGCTCCCACCTCCTGTCTCCTCAGGGTTGTAGGGCCCATTGTGTTCTTTTAGGGTGTTGGGTGGGCGGATGGCCGGTGTGTGTGTGTGTAGCGGGGCGGGGCTTGTCTGTGCAAGGCCTGGCGCCTCCGAGGGGGAAAGAACTGCCCTTTGTCTTCCAGGCCAAGCTCCCCACTGACTGCAGCGGAGGAGGGCGATGGCCGCCTTCCCCAGCCCCTGCCTCGGCGGGTGTCTGCTCACCCTCCTGCTTCTGCATCTGCGCGGGCTGCACGCAGGTCCCGTGGACGCAGGTGGGTCTCCCCGCTGTCCCTGGCCGCAGGGTAAACAGAAATGACCCCATTCGGTTCTCCCTGGATACTCAGCCTGGGCCCCAAACGGGTGCCGTGGGGCGGGCTGCCCCAGGAATGGGCGTAGGGACGCTGCCCTGGGGCGGGGAGCCCGGTCCCCATCCGTCCTCGGCCCTCCCGGTGTCTGGCTGTCCC